TAAATTCGATGATTTGGCAGTGTATCTTTTAATGATTGCAATTTAGCATTGCGTGTTTTAGCGATTTATTGAAATATATTGTACATTTTTGTGTACTATTCCTAATGAAAATAACCAAGAGAAAATGAATAGTCCTTTTTTTTTCTCGTTTTTCCCTTTTTATTTCGTTGCTGTTAAACTAGTTTTTGCTCTATTTATCACTATCATATGGTTGCCTGGAATTTCTACGAATTCTTGTTCTGTCATTTCCACTCAAATTTCCTTTCTTTTTCTTACAAATTGAGAATGAAGATAGTTACTGTTTAACGGGGCATTAATTATGGCGTTTGAATCAATTTCACATATTGTCTTGTTCTTAGGAAGAAGAAGAAAAAGTGAAATATCAAATCATTCCATAGAATTGATCTTCTGATTGAGCTCTCAGCCGAGTTCGTTCGGTCTCCCTTATGTAACAGCTTTTTCGAATTTTGTACATAATGGTTTTGTTGAGAATTGCTGATATATGATAAATATTGTTTGCAGGGTGATTTTTGAATCCTTCCCAAAAGTAATCTTCAAACTATGCTTAAAGAATGATCTACATATAGAAGCTATGCACATTTTAAATAAATTTTTTAATTTGCAATGTATGTTTTGTATCAAATGAACTGTATGTACATTTGCTCGTTAATTTTTCGAGCAATTTTTTTAAAAAAAATGCATCTCATTTAATTCTACATTTCGAAATTTAGATATGCTAAAAAGAAAATTTTACGATTTGAAAACCATTGTTTTCCTTTTTGTTTTAGTTTTAATTTCCATCGGTTTTTTATCAACTTTTCTGTCCTTTCAAATTTTTATTTTAAGATATTTATTTTACATATTATCTTTCATGTTTGTTTTTATCAGCCATTTAAGTTTTTCATTTTTGTTATTTTCCATAAATTTATCACTATTTTAAAAAATGTTTTCCTGCTCGTCTATCCTTCTCCTCCCTACTTATTCCTTAAATGGAAATTTCTTCCCCAGTTGTATAAAACTTATTCCTAACTATCATTTCTCCAATTTTTGCCTCCAGAGCTATTCTTCCTTTAAACTGTTAAGAGCGGAAAGAAAAACCTAAAATCAATTAAAAAAAGAAATTCGAAAATTTGCTATTTCCCATAAATTTTTTTCTATCAGTGGTTATTCCATATCAGTAGTCATCTTTTGATACATCAGTGGGAGTATATTGGGCGACCAAATATGTTAAGGATTATAAATGTTATCTTAATGTATCCTATTATCTTGGATTCGCAAAGTCTTTCCAGACAATACATCATTTATTAATTCCTTTAAAAAATTTTTGAAATATTAAAAATTAAAACTTATTAAATTATTCATTACATTTCTTTCTTGATTAAGAATTTTTTTCTCTATTTTCAGATTGCTAATTACTTTTTAGATGAAAATATTCGTTCATTTCCTCTGTGCTGATTTGTACTAGTTAATACAAGCTGCAAGATGACATACACTGCAGATTTTTTTTTTTATTAGCTTACTGATTTAATGATTTATTTGTTGTTTTAAAATAACCTTTTAGTATCTATGCAAAAAAGAAATATATCTGCAAGACTATGCAAGCTCATTAATATAACTCAAGTTCATTTGTTGCTTATTTTATGATACTCTTGTATATTCAGTAGTTTTTCATCAGGGTAGTTTTATTGCTAATTCCAAGAATGATTTTTTTTTTCCTGTACTAAGTAATGTATTAACTGTTCTTGATTGTTCCTCAGTTTGTAAAAATTTGCAATCTTAGGTCCATATTTACTGAAAAAAAAGCGGTTTTTAGCCGATTTTTAGCTTATTTTTAGCTTATTGTTCGTTAGATCTGGTTACATTTATCAGGAGTTATCGGTCGAGTCTGCAGTTGTAATAAGCTGTTATGCTTCCGGACTGTGTGGAAACAACCAGTGAATCTATGCATGATGTTGCTTTTAAGGCTGCTGTTGACATAATACAAAGTATGCCGAAAAAAGGTTGTTATTTAATCCTAAACTTAATTCTAATTTTATTTAAAACATGACATTGCAGCAGCTATTACTGCCCGAAAAGCTTGTAAATCCGAAAAACCTTTCAGATTTCTCTTAGTCAAGTTTTTTTTGGATATTTATGTGATCTTGTTTGCATTGAAGTTGATTTCGCATAGTAGTTTGTGACCGGATTTTCAGGCTTAGTCAGTATTTCGACAAGCCAGAAATTACGATTTTATTCATTATTTAAACAGGGAACAAATGGAAGATGTAATACTCCATGTCCACCAATGTGGCATGCTGTTGACCGAATGAAATGGTAGATTACGTTTTTCTTCTCAATGTAAGAAGTCTAAATAATGTGATAAGCGAAGGCTTCGGTAGATTTTAATTTTGCAGTAATGATGTCAGGAATAATTTTATTTCCTCCTTTTTTGAGGAAAGTTAATATTAGTTGGAAAGCCATCTCAAGTCAAAACTTTTCTTTCCTCAATCTTTGACTAATTTCTAGTTCTGAAGAAAAACAATAAATAGAAGATATTGTTTGAATTTTTACTCCAATTTTGATAATTGTCTTAAAAGGCGTGCTTGGGATGCTCTTGGGTCAATGAATTCGTTGGAAGCAAAAAAAATTTATGTTATCGAATTCAAGAATATTATCAATGCTATGCAACAAAAATATGATATAGCAGAACTGATAAAAGGAAGCGATGATCGAATGAAAGTGTTACTGAGAGAAAAACTTAACATCCTTGGTTATGGTATTTTTTTTATTCAAAACATTTAAAATGTCTATAGAAATGGATTTTATTTACACTTGGATAATCGAATAAAGTTCCATTTCTTAATTGTTAAATTGGAAATTGTTTCACTTTTTATTCAGATTGTTTCGTTCCTCACTGTATGCAATATTTTGATATTGAACTAACTGTAAGATTGTTATATCAGAAAATTATAGACAAATTATAGACTTCATAATGATATAGAGTTTGTAATCTTATTTTTTTACTTATTTTTTTCAGATGTAAATGATTCAAAAATAGGGGAAGATTTGGATGATTCTGGGCAGCAATCGTACAGCATGGCTGAGGAAAACTACGAAATGAAGAAACACAGCGTGAGTTAAGAAATTTGAATCTGTTAACGATTTATAAAGAAGTTGGGAGAGATAGGTATGTCAGCTACAGTAGCAAAAAAAGTGTCAAAAGTCTTCCAGTTTACTGATCATATAATTAAATATTTCAGCTACTGTAAAATATCTCTGTTCTTATCACTTGCATCGTATTTTTTTCCTAAAATTTTATTAATTAATATAGGTCTGCAAAACTTCATTTGCATACTGATGAATACTTGACCTGACTGCTAGATAATACCTACTGCTGAATAAGGTAAATTGTAAGACTTCTAAATAATGTAAGAGTCAAAAAATTCGAATATGCGAATCGGAAGCTCCTAGCATTATGAGGACTAGTTATCTTACGACTAGCCCAATCGGCTTGGATGAAGCAATTAGTTCATGCTCAACATTAGGAGCTGACTTTGTTTGTAATTGTCACTAGGACAGCTATAGCCCTGAATAATTGAATAGTCTCGATGATTTTGGAATGTTATGGAAAAGATAAGAATCTTTTATTTATAACTTTCTATTATTTATAATTTATTTATAAAGTATTTTTTTTATTTATAACTTAATACGAAGTGTGATAAGTCATAATTTAATTTATTCATCGGTACCTATTAAGTGAACTATTTGCAGAGTAATAATGGAACTAATGAACTATCGGATCAGTGTTCAGAATCAAGCACTTCTACTGGAGAATATGTCGATGCAGTTTGCTGTAGTCAGGTAAGTTTTTTTCATTTCCTGAGCGGTTTTCAACCTTAAGGAATATTATTGATATTAATGGCTATTTTAATGTGGAAACTGAATTAATGGCCTTTTAATATAAACGTGAAGTGCTAATGATATTGTAGCAGAATAGAGATATTAATTTTTAAAAAGTCTGTTCTCTCTAGGAGCCATGTGCCTTCTGTCAGGAACAACTATCGAATCACAGGTAAATATCGAATCAATTTCAGATTTCAAATTTTTTCTTCAGATCATCATTAGGAATACATTGCATTTTCCATGTTTTAGATTTAGGGAAAAAGAGTGTGATAAATATTATAACGTAGTGGCGTCAAATTACTGTAGTAGTTTTTGTTTTGAACCTGAGAAAATTTAGTTCATCACATCTTTTTGATACTCTGATTAATGACAATATCTGATAAAATTTAAAATTTGAAGCGTGAATTATTGCATCCCATTGTTTGACGTCTAGCAGTTCAGATTCCTGTTATAAAAATACCATGTCAAGTGATATTCCTTTACAGGAACTAATATATTTTGTCATCATACTACATTTGTTACACTCTTTTTCTTAAAACTATGTGCAAACTATTAGGTTAGAATGGAGTTTGGAAAATTTGAGACAGAGAACGGCTGTTCTACGGCAAGATTATATATATTGAGTTAATTTGCAGGGTGGATCACATGAATGGTTATCACTTTTCCTATTCTACTTCCAATTCAGAAAATTTGAAAGTATTCATGCAACGACATCTGAAGATATTAATCAGTTTGCTGACATATATGAGGCGCCTGTTTGCTACATTTTTGTCGAACTTTAAAGGATACATCAAAAATCGATGTAAACTCGCAGCTTTCATAACCATACTGCCATTTATTGCTTATTTTATTATGGCTTATCTGTGCTAGAAATGATTTACATTTTGTTAATGCTTATCATCATATTCCCTTGTTATGAATTATAATCACCAATCGCTAAGAATGCTCATTATTTATCTTTTTATGAAACAAATATTGTATGTAATGAAAACTTTTCATGCTGCTAGAGAAAATCTATATGGCTGAATGTGAGAGACTTCTATATTGTAGCATGAAATCCCGACCGGACATAACGGGTTACTGTGAACTATGTATCCTTCTGCAAAAAATCAGGGTTTGGGAGTTATTATAAAAAAACCGTGATCATTACTTGATTTTTTTATAACACATCGTTTCCAGTGTAATATAAATGAAAAAATTTTTGTATAACAGCTCATAATTGTAGTGTGCCAAAATGGATTATATGAGATTAACAATTCCAATAAATTGTTGTTACACTGATTGCATCAAATATTTGCATGATTAAACCATGACAATGATTAAATTTGAATTATTAAGTTAGTGATTTTATGTATATATATGTATGTATAACCACATTTACTGTATAGAACAAAAATAATTTAGTCATTATGAAGTCATCGTGGTTAGTTGATTCTCCTTCATGGTAGTTCTGTTCACGACAAACGTTATGTTTCATCCCTTCCCACTTGATTACCATCGCGTAAAACGTCCCACCCTTAACCGGCAAGTCTATTTCCCTTACGGAAACCGGTTGACCGATTGGAAATGGGACTTATTTTGCATTGCTCTGTTGGTGTCGATATGCAAAAGTGTCCTCCCATCTTCTGGATGCAGAAGTTTTGTTTTCAAAATTTTTCATAATGCATCGTGTGATTCGAGATTACTAAGCTTTTGTGATATGTGTGATTTGTTAATATGAATTCTAGGTTGTTCCAAGCACATAATCTAATAAATAGTTTTTCTGCATTTGCTCAGCATGGTATTGTTATCGGTTGTGTCTTCATTTTGCACTTAAGTGATCAATGTGATTCCTGTCATTTTCTTGCAGTTTAATCAATTTTTTCTCACTTTAATTGATACGTGGAACAATTTTTTACAAATCAGATGTCCTCATGATGGCATCGCTAGCAGACACAGCTAATACGACGATGACGATTCCAGTTCGTAAGGAATGTATTAAAGGTAAAATAAACTTTATATTTTTCATCATTTACGTGAAGATTTCCCTTATATTGTCATCTATAAATTAACTATTATTTTATGAAGGAAAAAAATTTGGAATTGTTGGAATTATCGCTACATCTATACTTCATAAAGGAAGTTTTAAAACCTGATCAGAAATGTTGAAGTAGTCGTATTTTTTATTATTTCTATTAATTAGATCATTTCATAAGATGCTATTTTTAAGGAAAGTCGATATTATTTATGATTATCAGAAGTTAGCTTTCAGTATTAAGCACCATATTATTAAATCAGTATTTGTAGACACAAATGTACAGTTATTATTAACGAAGATTGATAATTTGGAAGAGATGAAAGGAAAAGTTAGTGAAACGCTGCTAAGTGTTATTGATAAACGGATAGCATATCCCAGGATGATTACTTCATATATTTCTGAAGCTGGAAAATTCAGAATGAAAAGAATAGTTAGTTATTTCTATAAGTTATAGTTGTATTTTAATTAATTCTTGTTTTTATGGGAAAAAAAAAGTGTTGGAGTAAAACTACTTCAAAATCACTTCATTATTCTGAAATTCGATAAAAAAATAAATCTTGGGAATCATACGATGAATTATGAAACTTTCTTTTTATATTTTTCATCCAAGACAATCGTGTCAAAAACTTATTTTACAAAGAGCTTCATCATTTAAATATCTTCAACAAATGCTGAAGCACAGTTTCGTGACAGTACTGAGAACATAACAGTGGTAGAGTGATAACCCACTGTTTATATACTAATTTATATGTTTTTTCTAGAAATAATAATTTATTGGAATATGAGTTATTTTAAGCAAAGATGATAGTGAGTGATGTAATCCACTGTATTTGGTGAGCGAGAAAAATTAACACTTAAATTAATAAATTATCATAGAGTTTATAAGAAATTTAACAAAATAAAACCAGGAAGAGGCAGAACTAGTTTGGCAAGCAGAATCTCTGGGAAAAAAGGATGTTGAAAAGATGCTAGAGTTGATTAATAAAATGCAAGAAGTTGAGAAGGAAAACGATGTACTTCTACATCGTATTGAAGAGGTTTGCTTATAAACTTATATTAAAACTAAATAATTCTTTTTCTTTCTCTTTCCTTCTCCTCTCTTTCTTTCTCTTACGTTCTTGATCCAATTATTTATTCAAGTTGATTTACTTAACATTGAATATTTTTCTTTTCTTTTTTTTTAGTTGAAAAGACAAAACAATGAACTTGAGAAAACAGTGAAAATGAACGATGAAATTATCAGGAACATGGTCTTTTGACGATTAATTGTATTTCTGAATTTTTGCTGTTTTCGATATTCTATTAATTTATTTTACACTGATTTTGTTTGATTTATAATGATGTCAATAATATTTAATTCTTACAAGATAGTTACAAAGTAAACGATTAGAAATATTTGGATTTGATATTTGACAAAAAGAATATAGCGATATATTAGAATCGGGTTCAGATATTATGGATATGAAACTGCAAATTGTATTTTATTCAATGCATATCATTGCTTGTAATTGGTGTATTATGTTCCAGTTATTGATTTTTTTCTTTTTTGGTTTTACTTACTGATCCTTCCTTATATGCAAAATTATTATATATTGGTTTCTTTGAATGTATCCTCTCATTATTAACACATGAAATTCGTCAACGCAGTAAGTAACTGTTTGATCAGTCATTCCTATGCATATCTTATTTAAATGATGAGTAGGACCTTCAGCTGAAATTACCGAAATTTCTATCCGAATTTAATACCGATACGCTTTATGGTAAATGCTTTATATGTAATCAGTTTCTAAGAAATTATTTACTTATAAAAAAAGCATTAGCTATCTAAGATGCGAATATTTTAATGATGAAATTTTTTTTTTTCTTTTTTTTGGACCAATAAATGGGTAGTGGAAGGAGAATGTTATATTTGATTATTATTTGATCTCAGTTATTCTTTTGTTTATTTGAGAAAAAATGGGACAAAATGTATGATGAGTAAACAATTATCACTAAACATTGTATGATTAAAAGTATAACATAAATGAAAATCGAAATCGGAATTCTGTATGATTTTACTTCAGAGACATTTCCTTATATTCAGATTTGCCGCTACGATTTTTCCCTGTTTCAGGGTGTTATGACAATCAATTACTGATCTTCGGTTTGTATTTGCTACCATTCGGACTACCCGGTGTTTACACTTATTAAATTCAAAATACAGACACAACATGAGTATTAATAAATGTGTTCAGTCAATTTAGTAGTGTATTAAGTGTAAAAAGAAATGATTATGCTTGCGAGAAATGATTCGTATTACTCTTTAATGATTCATATTACTTTTTAAACACATATACAACGTGCAAAATGTCATGCTATTTTATAGCAATTGTAGTAGAATATTACATCTTTTAGTATTACTTTCTACTCTTTTTTTTTTCTTTAATAATTATACAGTCAAATAGTTTTGCAAAGAATACAAAAGTTAGCATACTAATTGTTGTTTTATTTTTCATAATTTCTACTTTTTTTCGTTTTAATTTTTCCTACGGATTATTGCATGCTTGCGATGAAATCATAAATAGTTTTGTTCATGCATCGAATTGTAATAATTAGTTTTGCTTTTATAGATTATTTTTGCTTATTTCTTTGTATAACAGATTATCATTAGGTACATCTGCTTTTAACATCACATATATTTGTGAATGTTTTTTTCAGATACGTATAAAATACAGCGAAATTATCAGTTACGATGTCTGGAAATACAAAAGATCGCATAGCCGTATTCCCATCTCGAATGTTTGTCTTTTTTTAATCTGAATTCTATTGTTTTCTAATTCACTAGTTACTTTATATTGTTGCTCCTTATCAAATTGCCTTTATCAATAGTATGGTTTTATTCTAAAAAACAATATTATTATTACTTTTCGAAAAGTCATTGTCGACAAAACTTTGTTATCACCTAACATGATTATGTCTTATTCAAATTTATGCTTTGAAAGTTTTGTTTACATAAATGGTGGAGTGAGATACTTCATAAACAGTAAGTGGAAATTTTTGTGATGAAAACTCTACTATAGATGTAAAATTAATCAATTTTGATTTATTTGAAAAAAGGAAATTTTAAATATAATTTTAGGGCTCAGACGATGATGAAGGCTCGCTTAAAAGCTGCTCAAAAGGGACACAGCTTGCTAAAGAAAAAAGCTGATGCGCTAAATATGCGTTTTCGTTCAATTTTAGGGAAAATTGTAGAGGTAATGCTTCCTTTTTTTCTCATTTTGCTTTTCTGAGATTAATTAATTATCCTGAAAGATAGTTATATTTTTTACTTTTTTCGTACTCAATTTTTTTACATATTTTTTCCAACTTTTTTTGCGAAGAAAAGAATGAAGAAAAAAATTAATTTTAAGAATAAAAACTTGATGGGTGAGGTACTTCGTGAAGCAAGCTTCTCATTAGCAAAAGCTAAATTTACTGCTGGCGATTTCTCACATATTGTAATCCAGAATGTCTCGCGTGCTCAGCATCGCGTCCTAATGAAGACGGAAAATGTTGTAGGTTAGTGCAAATTGATTTATACATGACTTTATTTACATGATTTCAATAACCTTAGTTGCATGATTAATATCACTAAGATGATCTGATTATTTCTTCGCGTGCCAGATATTAAACATGTATGACCTTATTATAAAAGCATCTTTATCAAAGATTTTTTCCTCTATTTAAGTGAAAGTTATATTTATTCTATATATGAATATTTCATAGGAAGGAAAATGATTTCAATTCTCAATATTCCAGAAAACTTTTGATTTATTTTTAGAAATTTCTGAAGTAAAGGAGGTAAGAAAGTGAGGGAAGATGAAAAGTGGAGGATTGATAAATGAGAAATTACTGATAAGTTATGATCAATGGTAACAGAAAATACAGTGATGTTCTAACTTTGCGAGATTTGTTGGAGGATGATATATGTCTCTTAATTAATCCTTCAGGTGTATTTCTGCCGGTTTTTGATTCATATATTGATGGACCTGATACATATGATTTGACTGGTCTTGGTAAAGGTGGTGCAAATATCACGAAATTAAAGAAAAACTATAATCGTGCGGTGGAGTTATTGGTTGAATTGGCAACATTGCAGACATGCTTTATAACTCTCGACGAAGCTATTAAAATTACCAATCGGCGTGTTAATGCTATTGAACATGGTTTGCTATGTTGATTTTCTTTCATAAAATATAAAAAAGACTAAGTGCATCAATGTTGTCTTTTTTCTTCATGTTTTAGTGAATTCTGAAATTGGCGGAAAGAAGTACTTTAAAAAATTGGCTTTATTTTTTCGTACGAATGAGCTCCATTTTTCAGTAATTATTCCGAGGATTGAAAATACACTTGTATACATTGTTACTGAATTGGATGAAATGGAGCGTGAAGAATTCTTCAGGTTAGCTGATTTTTTTCAATCATTAATGATTAGACTGATAATAACAGAAAATGACAGATGTAATCTTACTTTGTTACTTTGTAATTAACCAAAACCTCAATTCATTGGTTCGGTTTGGATTATCAGATATTATTCGACTGCATGCAGTGCAGTTTTTCAGTTTCAAAAATCTTGTTTAAAGTTTGTACATTGAATTCTCTTTCCAGAATTTGTTTGTTGCAGAATGAAAAAAATACAAGCACAAAGAAAAAAGATTCGTGCTGAAGCAGAAGGTGCATCCGAAATGAAAACAGAAGCAAGTGGTTGTCGAGATGAACAACCACGAAATATTTTGGAATATCAGGATGATATTCCGATTTTGTTCGCGTAATTCTGTCATTTGTTTCTTACTATTGCAAGATCACTTCGAATTTTCTTGCAACGAGATCACTTTTTTGAATTCTTTCTTTTTTCCCTAGTCTTGAGTGGAATTCCAGGAAGATTCATTCAAAAACCTAAACTAAAATGAAATTTTAATTCACCTCAAATTTCTGTATCCATGAACTTGCCGGTTTTTTTGTTATATCGACTTAGTAAAATATTAAGATGTTATATTCTAGTGATGCAGTTCTCTGTGTGCTGATTTTCACATAAAACATCTTTTTATTAAAAGCAAATGTGAAATGATTTCGTTTGGTTTCGGCACTCGAAACATTTTCAGTATTTCGGATGTATTCATTTGTATGCTTGACATTATGGAAGCATTATACAACGAATATCCGACAATTGATTTCCATATATTCCATAGAACGACTGTATGTTTATTATTGATAGGCATTGTATTAGTGTAGAATTTTATGAAATAAGAAAAATTACGCTTTTAATAATGTATCAAATGATGTTTTCTTACTTTTCTCATATGTTTGTGACATTTTTTCTGAGTTGTGTATATTATTCCACCTCTGAAAATTTTTTCTTTTGTATTAAATTTTAGCTGTATATTTAAATATTGTTTAACAGAATTTTAAACGAAATCTTAATCGTTGCAATGTTTTCTTCCACTTTAGCCACAATTATCAGCTAATGTATACAAAACATGCTATAAGTTGTCTAATAACTACTATTTGGAAAACATGAAATAAAAAAAAAAAACGGTAGCTGGAATTAAGCTTATCGTGCCATGGCTTCAATAAAACGATCAATTTACTAATAACAATTCTGATCAGAGGAGGGAGTGGATTCAAGCTTATCGTGTTTAAATAAATTAAGTGATTGAAGTGCTGATAACAATTCTATCTCCAGCAATGAAAGCGTTAGAGCTAGGGGCGAAATCTGTCAACAACTTTCCATTCTCTGAAATTTAAATGTGGAATCTTAGGAAATGTTTTATGTCAAAACAGTGTCATAATTATGCGTATCGATCAATAATAATTTCTAAAGGATTACATGGAAATGTTACAAAAATTGCTTTTAAATATTCGAAAAATTTAGTATTGAGGATAGATTTAGCAAGTATGAAGTAAGTAATACATCTTTCTTCATTTTAGTTATTGTGGGGATAATTTTTAATTTACATAGGAAAGTTGCTACAGATCGTTCCAGTATGTGTGTGTGTGTCTGTGTATAATTGAAATGGAAAAGAATTGAAAAAGCATTGAGAGAAGAAACTTAACAATTCTTGTCATTTTTAAATTTATTCGACTTTATGCATTTTCCACTGGTCCATAACAATGAGATTTCTGTTTTTCTATTTTCATTTTATTGATGATATATTGCAGTCATATGACTAATTTTAAATAAATAATATTTGTTTTTTTATTTATCCGTTTTTACTTTTCTTCTTCTTTGATTTTCAATGCAATTAGCAACTGAATTTTACCATAGTGGATTAATTGTAAGGTAGAAAGTGTTCTATGACGGAAAGTGGTTTATCCAAATTGAATTAAATAAGCATAACCAGTTTCACTACCTGTGTTTATTCAGAGAGAGAGGGAGAGAGAGAAGGAAAGAAGAGAGTGGAAAAGATGAAGTAATGGAAAAATGAGGTTAAAAAAGTTGGACCTAATATATAAGTGATTGGCCTGAATGCATATATGTTAGATGGGCAGTTGACTGTTGAAACGATATATGCGTAAATAAGCATTTGATTATTTTATCATTCAATTTTTTTTCTTTTCATTTCAATGATTATTTATTATTATTATTATTGATTACTAATTATTTCTGACTATTAATTATTAATTACACTGCTTAATGTTTTCACATGCAATTAATTATATTTTACCGATTGTGTACCTGCAGATGTTCATTTCCCCTACTCAATTTCCTCTTTTCTAAGGTTTGCAATTCTAAAATTCTGCATTGGGACGCATATACATATGTCTGTCGCAGCTGTTTCAATAACAAAATAATTGGAATTAGTATGAATTGATTGTGCCTAAGTGTAGTTTAGCCTACAAACCTTCTTCTCATCGCTTGGCTATATTTGATTAGAAAAATAAAAACTGTTATCTTCGTCTTTACATCAAGCATTAATAGTAGCACTACCCATATGTTTTTCTGTTTCTCTCTCGTAATAACATTCTGCTTTTATATTTATCATTTCACTTGATCATCAAGAGTACACGAGAGTAATTAACAGTCATTTTTTCAAGCGACACAAATGATGACATCGATCTGTTTTCTGCCTTTCTTCTTCCCTCTCTCTCTTTTCCTTCTTTAACCAAATATCTTCATTGTCTTTTTCTCTCTGTTCTTTCTTTGGCTAACATATTTATTCATTTTATTTTAGACTTATGGAATTTAGATTTCTTTTTTTCCTTCCTTTCTTTCTTTCTTTCTTTTCATTTGCATAAAATGTTCATTAAATTTTAGTTCGTATAGATAACTTATAAGATGAAAATGAGATGGAATTCTTTTTCTCTTTTTTTTTGCAATCTATTTCTATGTAATACTTTTATAATTTATTTGCTTGAGGTTTGAATAAAATGTCACATCACTCGTTCATCCATTCATTCATTTATTCGTTCATTCATTCAAATTCATTTAATTAATTTTCTCTTTCTTTCATATTCAATTCATTTCACTTTTTCCCCTGTTTCTCCATTAATTAATAGTCAGAATGTGTTCGATATTGATTACAGTTTTTTTTATTTCTATTTTTTTTCTGTGAATCTAACATTCATTCTGAATTGGATATGTTATATTGGTGCAGTCTTTTGTTGCGACCATCATTCCGAAAATTCGTCGTTCTGAATGAGAACAAGATTTATATGATTGATGATGATGATAATAATATAGAATTATGAGGAAAAAAATTATGGAGATTTTATTCTATTAGCATTTTTTTTTTAGAAGAAAGTGACGGTGTAAAGGTTTATTGATGATTAATTATGATTACATCGATTGTTTAGAAATAATTCGGTGTCCCGAATATAGGTCAATAGTGAGGAATGATATTTAGTCTAATCAAATTGATATTTGAGAATGTTATTTTCCATTTAAATTGTGAAGTTTTGCTCTCCTGGGTTTTTATGATATGAATGGAAGAAAATATGTGAAGACAATTTTATTGGTGTTCTTGATAATAGATATTTCATTAATTATTAGACATCAATTATTTGTTTATTATGCTTTTATGAAAAGTTTTTTTTTTTTTTTTTTTTAGAAAACTTACATAATTTATTTTGGTTAATTTGAAATGATTGCTTTTTCCTCACTGTTTGAAAAGATTTTAGTTTAAAAAGAAATGAAAAAAAAAAAATTTCAGAATTTCAGAACAGCGTTTTTATTTTGAACTATGTCACTGTTTCAAGAACCATTCAAAATTTTGAGTGATCATCAAAGTGTGCGTTTGTTCAACATTATTGTTGGTGCTTCGCAAGTTTTTGGTTAGCACCTAAATATCAATTAATCACATTTCTTAATGTTAATTATTTCATTATTATTTTTCAAATATACTGATAATTTTTGATGTATGAAATGCGAAAAGAAATAAAGCAAATGTTTTCCAAAAAAACTGTCTTTCATCCTTTCTTTTATTTTTTTCAATTGCTTTTTAACTTTTCAATTCAGATTCTTCTTGCATTAAATTCGCATTAAATTTTAGGCATTTGTGCAGTTTTTCTCGTTGCAATATGGATGACTGGTTTTCAAGATGGCTTTACAACTGGCCTTCAATTTCACTATCATCCAACATTCATGGTAATAGGCATGATCTTCTTAGCTGGCGATGGTAGTCTTTTTTTTTTCTTCTAACTTAGACAAATTGCACTAAACAAATAATTGTTTAATCTTGATCGTTTTATTTATATTTTCAAGATAATTATTTTGTGAGCTCACTTTTTTTTATATACGTAATATGTTTCATGATAATATCTTAATTATTGATCATTGGTCATGACTAATTATCATTATCATGAAATTAATGCTAGTATCCGAATAATTTTTCTTTTTTTCTCGTCCTTTTTTAAAATAAATACTGATGATTAAGACAAATTCCTGTTCGTTTTTGTTAATCATTATAGCTAGTAACGCAAATATTTTATTCAGCTCTTCTGAGCTCTATTAAGTTAATTTGTAGATATTTCACTTTAATATATTTTACTTCTAGGAATATTGGTCTATCGAATTTTTCGACATGAGCGAAAGCGTTTCTCCAAATTGCTTCATTTAATATTACACACATTGGTACTTATCTTTGCTGTGGTTGCATTGAAAGCAGTATTTGATTCACATAATAATCATCGAAATGATCAAGATGAACCGGATCCGTTACCGAATTTATATTCATTGCATTCATGGATTGGTCTAACTTTTGTCATTGCTTTTTTCCTTCAGGTACAAGATTTTTTTGAATATTTATTGATTTTTTTTCTCTGAAATAATTGTATGACAAATAAAAAATTGAAACTTTTTAGTGATAAATTCAGGATTGAAGGTTTCAAGTATAACAAATGAAGGAGTTTAATGATAATTTCAAACTCTTTACTGTATTCAAATGAAACTTTTAGTATGTGATTAAAATTAGATTTAAAGTCAATTTTAATTACTTTATTTTTTAGAAAAAGTAATTAGATTAAAACAACATCAATAAATCTCTTATTACATTATTAAAAGTACTAACATAGTTAATAATAAAAATGTTTATGAATATAATTTGTTGCAATTTGTTACTTTTGTCTTATTTTAGTACTTCTTCGGTTTCCTAACATTCTTCTTCCCTGGACTGAGTGTACCGATGCGTCAATTTATACTTCCATATCATCAAGCATTCGGTCTTATCATCTTATGTTTTCTTGCAATTACTGCTGTAATGGGTATCTCTGAGCAAGCTGCATGGCATCATAAGTAAATAAAGTTAAAATTATCATTGCATGATATATTCATTTTCATTCTAATTTTATAATTTTATTTCATTTTCATAGATTAGTAATATTTAGGCATATGTAAATTTATTATCTATTTATGTCTAATTATTGAGAAGAAAAAATGTGTACAGCTGAATAAACTTTCAATGCATCATTTTACTCAAACGATAAAGTTCATTCCTTCTAAAATCAAAAATTAGAATATTTATTGCAGATGTTGGACAGTTAATCACGTATTGTGTAGTCAACAATTTCTCAGTACGTTACTTGGTATTTTCATTCTTATATTTGTTTTGTGTATTTTGCTAATCATCTTGAATCCGCGATGGCGTCGACAACCACTGCCGGAAGAGGAAACATTACATCGTTTGACAAATATTGATTAAATCATAAATTTCTACTTTACAAAAATTTTACAAATGATTTTTGCATGTTATATTTATTCATTAAGAGTTATTTAATGCATCTTGAAATTACTAAAATATTCTTTTGCATAAACCAATTCATATCTGTATATTTTACTTTCATTTCTCATTTTATCTGTTTCTTTCTTCCTTTCATGAATTGTTTTAATATTATTGGATAGCTTATCACTGTATTTTATACTTCAAATCTCTCAACAAATCTCTAAAGGAAAAAGATTGCATATAGGAAAGTATGAAATGGAATTGTTTTCAAATTCTGTTTCCTTGATTTTGAATGTTAAACTTTTCATCCAAGTTTCAACTTTAGATTTTAATAAAATTCTTGAAATTATTTTAATAAAATTGTTTACATCTTAAGATTTTAATAAAACTTGCTAGGAGAAAAACATGCTGGATTAATTAACGTTCATTTTAATTTTTTTGATAGAAATATAGCTATTAACTTATCTTAAATAGTTTATTTCAACAGTCCTCATCAAAATTTCAAAAATTTTTTGTTTGCTTTCATTTTTTTTATTCATATCCTTCATTTCATTTAAATATGAGATTATTATACTATTATTATATGCATACAGCAAGATATGATTAATTTTCATTTATTAAGCCTAAAATGAATTTACTCATCCAAATGTAAATTATCATATAGCTTCCAAATGAGATTTAATTTAAATTATATGATATCTGTCTTGTTTATAATCTATTGTAATCTCTATTGTTATGATGATCTCAATTGTTACATTATTATCACTATAATGTACTTCATTTTTCTATCTTTATCATTCCAGTTTTTTTCTCTACTTTTCCATCAATAATTTTATTTAAATGTAAATTTCATATGAATATAACAAAATTTTTTTAGTTCAGTGCTATTTCAATTTATAGCTGCTGGTATAACATTTGATAACGGTTCCAACTCGTTACAATTTTTTTAAATTTTCAAGGAACGGAATTCTGATAATTTATTTGAATGTTTCTTTGTAAATAATTTATTTTATTCTTGAAATGATCACTATTTATGCGCTTTAAACCAATCTGTGATTTTTGCCCTTTTTTGAATTTCCTATTCTTTTTTCTTCATTTTCCTTTCACGCAATTTTCTTGTGTTTTTTTTTTATTTTTAAATAGCTACTGTTTTCTACGATTCATCTATAATTTGTTCTTTTTCTTTGTTGTTTATTTTTCTTCCTTCTTTGCTTTTCGTTGAATATCGCTGAATTATCAATGAGATGATTTACAAGAATTGCACTTTTAAAAATTTATTGTACAATTTACTAAAATTTCAGCAAAATATGCTTCAATACTTTTAATTAAACTCCTTCAAGTAAAATGATATTCTAAGTTGTTGTTGATAACTCCTGAATACATACAACTTTGAATTACATTTGGAAGAAAGAAGAAATAATCATTTAGTTAAATTTGAGCCAAATTCTTCTGTTATATCATAAGTAGAATTAATCATTTAATTTCAGATGAAAAAAAAAAAAAAAAAATGATGGCAACAATCATTTTATACAATGTAAAGTCAGTGGAATTACTACTCCACTCAGTTAAAACAAAACCTCGTAAAACAAATTTTCAGTTTCAGTTGTTCCGAGCCATTATGTCAATGATAAGGTATGTGTCTACAATGATGATAATTGTCATCATCACCTATGACGTTATTCCAATTCCATTACCATCGTTCATCCAAATTCTATTAACCAGAAACTTCCGTATCCGTTATCATTACTAAAATTTACTAAAAACATTATTGAAAATGAAGCAGAAATTACATTCAACAATGTACAATATTCTCTTCCTGTGAAGTTAATACGTGACAAAACGATGATCAGATGAAATACTAATTATCATGAATGAAACATTATGTAACAAAAAGATGAATTCATGACTCATCTCCTCGTTTCACAAACCTATACCACTGGCGGTAGTTGAGGCAAGGAGATTGTTTCAGAAAATACTTTCTTATACCTTTTTGAAGGTACATGTATTGTGCCAGCCAGTAGAGATTTGTCATAAAACAAGATTATATGGAAGGGATAATCTTCCATCTTGAAGGTGAGGCGAAGCTGGTCAAACGTTCAAAGGTCATCGGTGATAATGGTAGCTAGTTCATGATTCTGAAGAGTAGATTGTATGTCAAAGCTAGCAGGCTTATATGATAGTACTGAAATCCTCCGATTTTAGTTCTGTTTTTCTAGTAGACTTACGGCTTCGAAAGGTTAACAAGTTTTGCCTAGATTTGAAATTAGAGTTATCTTAGGAGATTGTCCCAAAGCTAACGAGTTAATTTTACCCATGAATACGCTTACCGAGCCTTTAGCTAACCTAAAAGGCTTATGCCATCACCAGAATAGACCGTAGCTTCACAAAGACAACAAGCTATTCACCAAGACAAGGAGATGTCTGCAAAATTAATATTAATTATCAAAATGATAAGTATCATTAGCCATTATTTGAAGATGATACGATCGGATGGACTTGATTTTTCTCTTTTGTTATTATTATTATCACAAATGGATTCAAATCAGATTATTTCATGGCGGAAAAAAAAATAATACTAACAGACACTTCATAGAATTTCGAGTAAATAAAAATATATTTCTTTCAGTTTCAAAGGAAAGATAATAATAATTTCATTTGCGGTGGAATAAAGGAAATCTGTAAAATTTATATTATATCTGATGGAATCTTCAATTCAGAAATTTGCCAATATCAAAGATGATACTAAAGATAAAACTAAAAACACATCATTCGAAATTCAACTCTTTTTTCTAGTAAAAATGCCTAGTTCCCTAAATAAGCAACCAATTTTTTTTTCTTTAAAATTTTCGTTGCCATTAATTGTTTGCATTCTATATATATAAAGAAATGAACAAAAAGTCTAGAGGACTGTTATGAATTTAACATTTGTAGAAAAAAGGACATTAATGATTATTTAAATTTGCTTATTTCTAAATGTTTGATTTTTTATTTTCTTCTCAATTAACAACATTTCTCAAATCTCAAATGATTTCTTCACTGGCAATTTTTGATTTGTTAAATTCATTTCTATCTTTCACACTAGAATTTTTGAGTTTCTCAGATACGAGTGATATTGCTAGCATTGAATAATAATGTAATAAAAACAGTATAGCAATAATGACGATATCAGTCACGAAAACTACAGATTACTATGTAGATTATAGCAGTAAAATAATTAGCGGTCATCAGTTATGATTATTAGTTATCACTAGTAAATTGCTTAAATTACAACTGATTATTACCAGTGATTATCATTTAAAACTTTTGAAAACATTGCCGGATATTGCTTACACCAACTTGGTCACTACTTCAAAGTATCACTATAATTCATTTATTATCATTTACTTCAAAATATTTACATGTTAAAATCAGATACAGCGAGTATTTTAGTTTGAACTGCAAGATGAAAATGATGATGATAATATTACTTTATTTGTTAATTGACAATAATATTATTATTAATATCACTTGTCATTATTATTGCTTTCATCATCGTTACTACAGATTGTATTCGATGGGCAAATTCTTGCGGCGAACCATGCCATCGCCCTGGAACCATTCGCGGCGGAACTGTTTCGCAGCGCCATCCGGTGTGTTTGTCCATTCGATGGTAATACGATCGTTGTTGATGTCTTCTCTGGCTGCGTCAAATGTGTCACACGAGACCGCCATGAGAACATTCTCCTTTGGGTCCAGGACGCCACATGGTGGGTCAACACCTAGACGGCGCATATTGGTCGTTTTAATAGCCCAACCAATGCGACGACCACCGGCATTAGTAATCTGAAAAAAAGAAGGAATAGCATAGAGTTGAAAGAAAAACTGAGTATGTATGGGTATCTATGGTGCAGGAAATACGGAGCATTTTAGTTGCAATTAAAAATATCATAAAAATAATTCATAGATGTAAGTGTCACCTTAATATGATAAGTATGCTTATCGTCATAAGGTGCATTAAATACAATTTTAGAGCTGGGTTGGGTGTTGATATCACCAGGTGGAACCGATTGCGCCATATTCTTCCTCTATCTACTTACTGCAGATTTTTTCTCAGTGAACAATGCGAAATGGTTAATATTTTTCATTTATATATACATCAAAATATTAACATAGCGAATAGGAACTGCATAATTTGTAATGATTTTATCTAAAATATTAACTTAAAATTGTAATATTTTGAAGAGAAATGCAGATTTTAAATTAAAAAATGTTTTTCTTGATTATTTTCCTTATTCATTGTTATATTTTGTTTTACTACAGCAATCAGTTTGCAAGTAAATTTCTAGAATAGTGAATTTTAATCCAAAATTTGCATATAAAAATATAAAATTTACTTTTTTTTTTTTGCACATTTATGCAAATAATAATGGTAATAATTGTAACTATAAAAGGATATAAAACAAGCATATTTTATGCTTTATGATTTTGCTGCTGGGATAAAGTAGTGCACCTTCCCTCTTCGTAATGGCGCAGTCGATTCCACCGGGTGATATCCATACCCAACCGGGGTCAAAGATTGTCTTCAATGCCCCGTACGATGACAAACATACATATCACATTAAGGTATACTTATACTGGTGGAATAGAATCATGTTTTAATAAAAGATGTGGTACCACTAAAACCAAAACTATCTCAGATAGAAGAAATTAATTGTTATCATTTTTGATGATAATAAAATTTTGAGATTACTAATGCCGGTGGTCGTCGCATTGGTTGGGCTATTAAAACGACCAATATGCGCCGTCTAGGTGTTGACCCACCATGTGGCGTCCTGGACCCAAAGGAGAATGTTCTCATGGCGGTCTCGTGTGACACATTCGATGCATCGAAGGAAGACATCAACAACGATCGTATTACCATCGAATGGACAAACACACCGGATGGCGCTGCGAAACAGTTCCGCCGCGAATGGTTCCAGGGCGATGGTATGGTTCGTCGCAAGAACCTTCCAATCGAATATAACTTATAAAAATGCATAATGTTGCATCACAATTGTAATCATTTGAATTCAATCCGCATTGTATAATATCAGTGGAATAAATGAATTGAATTGTGACAGAATGATAAAATTATCAGCATGACTAATTACATATTATTGATTACTTATCGTTCAAAAATAATCAAATAATTCAAATGAATTCTGTCCTTAAATGCATTCTTATAACCTTTATGATAGCTGTCCAAAAGTGATCATATTTTCTATTCTTATTCCAATTTATTTTCTAATTTTTTATTTCTATTCTATAATTCTCATTTTATTTTTTATTCTAGGTTTTTATTTCTATTCTATTTTCTATCCTTTTCTAGTAGTCTAGTACTTTTCTAGTAGTAAGATTTTTCATCTTTGTTCTAATTTAAAGTTTTTATTTTATGATAGATATCATTTGTTGAACATAGCATAAAATTATGAGAAGAGATGGTAATAATTAGTCTAATATGATGAAATTTGATTAGAAAAAAAAGTGAAAGTAATGATGAGTCAATAGAAAATGTAATTTATGAAAGCTGAAGTTATTTTGTATTAAAGAATAACTGATAATAAATAATAATTATTAACAAGAACTTCAAGTCAAACTTTATTAACGTACCAATTAGTTAAATTGCTAACATTGCCAAAAATATACTTATAAAAATTATGGAAAAAAATTGAATTAGTTTAATTCTCTCTCTGTTTACTATTATTTAACAGGTTTTATTTAAATAAGATCGTATTAAATTTTTAGAAAGGCGTAATTCTTTCATTACGTGAATTTTTGTTTGCATTTGTATGTTCTATTTACAGAAATATCTCATTTTAAAAACTACCATTGTACTGATCAATTTGACGTTTCTTTCTATTTGAACTTATTCTCCTAAATGGAAAAAGAAAGGGAAAGAGAGAAAAAAACTATCATAAATAAATTCAAAAAATGAATTTTTTCTTGAGAAGAAATAATAAATTATAATATCTTAATTTTTGGTTAATTTCTATTGCAGAAAATCTACTCCACTAATTTTACGCTTATTTTATTTCATTTCAACTACTATATCCCATTTTATCTAAATTAGTTGATAACATTATTTAAGTTATTCAGCTATTTGCTTCTATTCCAAACTCTTATCATCTTATCATTTATCACTTCTGTGAAGTAGCATCAAGATTAGTTAAATTGCTAACATTAATGAAAATATACTTCCAAAAAATATGGAAACACTTATTCATTCATCAAATACAAATATATATTTGATTAATTCTTTCAAATCTACACGAACTATATTAAAAATTAAGATAGTAACTTCATATCAAATTTGGATATTCATGCAAATAGCAAAATGATAATTGCTGGAGTTATAACTTGTATAAATTTTTCTTTACCTTCACATTATATTCTGTTAAATTACAAATGAACAAATTTAAATAGACTGCATTTATTCAGCTTAAAATTTTCATTAACATTTTTTTGGAAATTAATTTGTGCATACAATTATATTATGCTGATTTTTTATAAATAAAAAGTTACATAAAAGCTGCTGTTAGCTATAAAAAATCATATTAGTTGCTTGTTTGGTTACAGTCAAGCGGCAACGCTACTGGATTTTCCCAATGGCGCAGTCGGTTCCACCGGGTGATATCCATACCCAACCGGGGTCAAAGATTGTCTTCAATGCCCCGTACGATGACAAACATACATATCACATTAAGGTATACTTATACTGGTGGAATAGAATCATGTTTTAATAAAAGATGTGGTACCACTAAAACCAAAACTATCTCAGATAGAAGAAATTAATTGTTATCATTTTTGATGATAATAAAATTTTGAGATTACTAATGCCGGTGGTCGTCGCATTGGTTGGGCTATTAAAACGACCAATATGCGCCGTCTAGGTGTTGACCCACCATGTGGCGTCCTGGACCCAAAGGAGAATGTTCTCATGGCGGTCTCGTGTGACACATTCGATGCATCGAAGGAAGACATCAACAACGATCGTATTACCATCGAATGGACAAACACACCGGATGGCGCTGCGAAACAGTTCCGCCGCGAATGGTTCCAGGGCGATGGCATGGTTCGTCGCAAGAACCTTCCAATCGAATACAATCTTTAAAACGATTGGACACATACGACAGGAATATAATTATGATCATCTGATCATTTCCTGCTAAATAATATATTCCTCTCATTTCATTTCAAATAAAATATTAATCATCTGTGCTCAGCAAAGTATAAAATCGATGTGATTTTGATGATTAATGTTTGAGTCAAAATAATTTATTCCGTCAACCCAATAAGATACTGCAATTCTTATTCATCTCGCAATCATTCTTTATCATTTAGGTGACAATCTTCATTTTTTATCCTCTTCAATTCACATTTTAACAAAAATAGTTTCAATAATTCATTCGTTTTCGAATAAAATAAGCACATATTTCTTTTATAGCTTTTAAAGGCTAAATAATTTTGTGTATGGTTCAAATTTACATGTATAAAATTAAATTCGAACTTTATGTTCTATTCATAATTTCGTTTTTCAATCGAGATATGAGGGAAGATTTTTATACAGTGTGAATGTAAATGTCGAACTGATGAAATTGGAACATAATCAGCTGTATTGAACTGATACGATCAAATACTAAATGTAGAAATTCCAAAGGAGTTAAAAGATTGATTAGTGAATAAGATAAAAGTACTTTAGTTAGGTGAAATAGAATAGGGAATGAAATATCAAAACATAGGATTGTGAGAATAAAATTTATTTGATCGAAATGATATGACATACAACAATTTTATTGAATATTATGTAAGATGTAAAAATATTATGTAAAAGTTTGAAAAAAATTTTTTTCAAGTTACAAAATTATCTTTCAATTCCTTTTACTAGAAATGATTGCGAAATTTGGCACTTTATTACGTTCAGTTGTTATCAATCAGAAAAAAATATTGCGTTACAGAATTATGAATTAGTAAGAAATCATGATAAGAAATCATGATTGTTCTTTTGTTAACATTTCCAACATCTTTTTCTTCTGATTCGCTCAAATCATTTAGTTATTAAATCATTTCGATGGCTGAAAATTGTTTGTAAATAATAATTTCATAGCTTAGAGATAGAGAAGAAATTTAAAAAATTAATAAAAAAAAAATTTCAACAATTTAAATACCATAATCTGACACCGGTACGACACGGTCGTACATAACCAACTATCATAGTACCATTGGTACCATAAAGTGGCATCACACAATTTGAGCGTAAATTGCATGAATTACGACGTTTTTTTGATCGCTTATGTTTATGACTATGGCTTCGTGATGAACGTGAACGTGAACTACTGCTACTACTGCTGTTGGATGAATGTGATGAGCGTAAATCAGTAATTGGTGAAGGTGAACGACGACGACGACGACGACGTCTGAAATAATATATGAGTCCATGTCATATATTATCAAAAATTGTTCACTTAAAATATTCTGTAATTACTTGAATCAGAAACGGAGGGAAATCGAAGATTGCTAATAGTAGGAAATGATGCGCAAAAGTAATTAACTATTAATTTGTATTTAGATTCTTTTGAAATTTTAAATATTGAGTTATACTAATATCAATATTAAAAAGTTGAAAAAAGAAATGACGAGGATTTCACTCGAAACTTTAATGTTTATCTGGTGTTGACGGAAATCATAAAAAAAGAAATGACGAGGATTTCACTCGAAACTTTAATGTTTATCTGGTGTTGACGGAAATCATAAAAAAAGAAATGACGAGGATTTCACTCGAAACTTTAATGTTTATCTGGTGTTGACGGAAATCATACCGCACTGAATGCACTATTTTAGGTTGAATGTTACGTCTCACAGGCGGAATACGACGAACTGTTCGCGCCTTTGGCGTACGTACCGGTGTAGGCATTTTAATTTTCTTGCACCAGAAAGAAAAGGATAAAATTAGTCACTGAATGATACTAAAATGAAAATAATTTTTGATTTCAGTAACATTAAATACCTTTTTTTACGCAAAATTTATTGCTTGCAGCAATCATATTTTAATTGAAAAATATTCTTGGTATATTTAAATTTTCAACTGCACGAAAATTTTTATTACCTAATTCAGGTTTAACTATAAAAGTGATATAAAATTCTAAAATTTTTTCTGGATTTAATTTCAATATTTATCATACATTAAGCGTAATTTAATTTGGCACTCACTTAAATTTCAGTTGCTTAAATTTTATTTTTTTCCACTTGCAATTATTTGATAGCATTTAATCAAATCTTTTTATAAAAATTTTTAAAATGAAAAACCTTCACATTCAAATTTTACTAATTTCATTATAAAAATCTTCTACTAGATTTTACATTTATCAATTTAATTGAATCAAAACAAGTTTCTTGCGTTTCAATTCTCTCTATTCATCTTATTTCGTCGCCATTGCAAATTAATAGTGAAAACAATAACAACAACAAATAAACAAGCAAAAAACGAGTCAGAATGAGATGAAATTTTTATCATTAAATTATAAATTATAGTTTAAATCCATTACAATAAATTTTAAAAAACAAATGGTGATAACAATTCAATGACAATTATTTCAAACTGCACTTTTTCAAAGTTATGCAAATGTAAAACCAGAAGAACGATAAGTATTATATATTTTTTCTATTGCCGTTGCGTATGCAGCAGTACGTATATCCAAGCCAAGATTGTATTTTTCTATTGTTTTTATAATATCATAGGCTGGAAAAAAAAATGGATAAATTTTAATATAAGTTAATTAAGATAAATTTATTTTAATTTGTTAACGATTAACAAAATTGCAGACAAATACCCAGCTAATAAAAATTTTACTAAACAATAAAGAGACTTATAATTATTAAGTTACTTTAAGAAATTGAAAAGGAGAGAGAAAAAAGAAGAATTATATAAACAATTAGCAATTGAAAATGACTGGTAGAAATTTATTCGGAAATTAGAGAAAATTAAAATTACAAAGTTAATTTTAAGATCCAAAAAAAAAAGAAGAAAAATGAGGTATTATGCAAAAAAGAAAATTTCTATCCCAGTCAGTAATTAATAGGAATTGGTAAAAATTCATCAGAAAATTAAAAAGAACCAAAATAATAATAAAAATATTTTAGGATGGAGAAGGAAAAAAGGATTATATAAACAATTAGCAATCAATAACTGGCAAGGAATTTCATCAGGAATTAAAGAAGGCTAAAATTAGAAAGGAAAAAAAAAAAAGAATAAAGAATTATAAAAAATAATTCATGTAAAATAAAGCATAACAAATACCGGAATAACTTCTCCTCTTCCTTTAGTTTATTTTAATATATTAGATTATGGAATCTTCAAATTATTAATAAAAAATAAACCTCAATTTTTATGCCTACCTGATTTCTGCATGCTAAATTCTAAACCGGAATAAACAATTTCTTCTTCAGATTTATGACTGATTCGGCTTTTCAGTCCTGCCGATGGTTCAATTTTGATATTTTTTCCAAGTTCACGATTTAATGATTCTTCAACACTTGCTACAAAAAAAAGATTAAATAATACGTAAAATAACATAAAAACAGAGACAAAAAACAATTTTGCAATGAAATAAAAAATAAAAAAATGAAAGAAGCTAAAAGCTAAAAAATAAAAAAACAGAAAGTGAATAAATAAATGAAGAATAATTTTACCAAGCAAATCATAACCGGAATCAATTTCATGCTTTGATGTAAGTCGACCAAAACTGACATGATTCAAATTTTTCAGCCATTCAAAAAATGATACCGTAACACCACCACTATTGATGAATAAATCCGGAATGACAATGCAATCATTACGAGCTAATAAAATTTTCTCAGCTGCTGGTGTTACTGGACCATTTGCTGCTTCTACGATAACCTATATCAATTATATTAGGTTAAAAAGTAAAGTCATGTTTACAAGAAAGGTAAATAATAACTGCAAATGAAAAAAAAAGAAAACAAAAGCAAAATTTAAACGATCAAAACTTTAATGAATGCTTATAGCAGAGCAAGAATTTAAAAAATTATATCAAATTTATTCAAATTTAAAGCTTATTTTGAAATGATTATTATACTTTTAGTTTTTTTCTTCATTTTTAGTTAATTATATCTTTTGAATTCTAACCCTACTATAAATAAAAATTAAATTATATATCTTTTCTAATTTTTATTACTGTTTCATGTAAATATAAAATATGGGAAATGATACTACCTTATCTCTTTTATCAGTACTCTTCAATGATATTTTCATGTAAATATAAAATATGGGAAATGATACTACCTTATCTCTTTTATCAGTACTCTTCAATGATATCCTTGTTTAACATCCAGAAAATACTCATAATTTTTCCATTACTTCCGTTATTAGTAAAGTTTATAGTATATTTTGATAAATTATTCCTAGATATTTCTCTTATCTTAAACTTTTAACTGTTAATTTCTTCTTATCACATTGTGCTTATATTTTTTGTTATCACCACGAGACAATTTACAGTCTCATTTTTTCCACTCTTCATGCTTTTTTTTTTACTATCATATTGGATATCAATGAATTATCATTAATAGACAAAATTAAATCTAATCATCATCCCTTCTAATTTATCACTTTCAAACAATCAAATTTATACCTTGGCTTTAATTTTGTTAGCATTATTTTTGTTGATAACTTTTTCACACGCTGCCAAAATTAGCACATCACATTCTTCATAAATTAATTCACTGTATGGTTCATATGCTTCAGCATCTGGAAAATCCTGAAAATTTTGAAATATTCAATAATAATTATCATTTATTTACAAATTTATAAATCGTCTACTTTTTTCATAAGAAAAATGAACAATCGATTTTTCAAAAATTTAAAAATTTTTTCTCCTTTTTCTAATAAAAAAGCAAAATTAAATTACCGCTACTGTTTTATGTTCAGCTGCATATTTGATCAATGCATCAATATCAAATCCATTTGGGTTATACACCGAGCAATTATACTCTTGAATGCCAATGATTATTCCGCCACCGGTTGATACAAAATGTGATGTGTAGGTACCAACATTACCAAAACCCTTCAATTTTTTTCTAATTATTCTAATTATTGTTTATCGTTATTTAAATATTCATTTTCTAATTAAAAAAAAAAAAAAAAGAAACAGCTTTCTAATTATTCTAATTATTATTATTGTTTATCATTATTTATTATCATTAATTATTTTAAATATTCATTTTTTTTAATACCTGAACAATAATTTTCTTTCCTTTTAATCCAGGCTTTAAACCAATTTTATTCATATAATCGGAAATATTTAGGAATGTTTCCAAACCGTTCCATACACCACGTCCGGTTGCCGCTGTACGACCATGAATTCCTGCAATATTTCAACATATTCAGTTGACATAATTCTAATAACAATTATAAATTAACATACTTCAAGTCAACATAAATAATTTTATTTCGTTTTTTCTCGTTTCATTTTTTTTAAAACTTTTTTGTTTAGACTGTGTCTGTTTTTCTACCCGAAAAAGAACAAATACCTCCAGCAACAATCGGTTTACCAGTAACACAAGCATATGCATCTTTATCGGTGTAACCAACTGTTTGCGCATATGTATCCGCAATCCAACTCATTTCACGCTCGCTAGTGCCCATATCTGGTGCCGGAACATCTACTCCAGGGCCCAAAAATCCCTTCTTGGCAAATTCCACTGTCATACGACGAGTGATTTTTTCAATTTCATATTCAGTATACTTGCTTGGATCAATTTTTACACCACCTTTTGCACCACCAAATGGTATATTAGCCACAGCACATTTGTATGTCATTAATGCGGACAGTGCTTTTACCTGCTCATATAAATTTCTTATTTTTTTTCTTTAAATCTTCAAAAATTTTAAACCTATTTTTTTCTTATCAAAAATGATTAAAAAAAGTGCCAATATCATTTAATTTCATTTCAAAAAAAGAAAAATATAACTTAAGATGTTGAAAGCAATATTTTACTATTTTCAAAACTTATTACATGCAGAATTTGCAAATGAAATTTGAAATTCATAAAAAGGTTAAATTCATTTCAGAAAAAATTTTCAATCGTTAGCATATTACCTCATCTTCACCGACATTTTCTGCATAACGAATGCCACCTTTTGTTGGTGTTCGGTGTTCACAGTGTTGTGCTCTCCAAGCTTCAATCATTTCAAATGTTCCATCTTCACGTCTAATTGGAAATGTTATATGTAGTACCTGTATTAACAAACCATTATTAATAAGTTTTTATAATAACTTCAGTTTGAAATTTTTAGAGGAATTTTAATTTTAATTAAATGTTACTACATTAATTATATAATAATAATAGTTTTATGACAAATCTAATCCGTGATTTTTTTGAAAAATTTTAATTATAATTAAAAAAGTATTAGTTGAATATATGATAATCATATAAATTTAATTTGATAGAAAAATACAAACTTTACTAGTTGGTTTAATCATAGCAATAACACCACGGACGAACTTCTGCTTTACTTCTTTCGACATTTCACGTGATGGATGTTCTTCAGCAAGTTTTGGCATTATTACTGCTGCTCCTTTATCAAAGTAATAATCCACCATCTACAAATTAAACAATATTAATAAAAAAAAAAAGATTTTTTTTTATATTTTACATTTATAAAACTTGCAGCATTTAGCGCCTGAATTTTTTATTCCTATTAATACATTTGTATTCGTGTACTCCATGTACCGATATTAGCATGAAATTATTATATATAATATAAAGTAAATAAACCTTAAAGAATAAAGGATCTAATTGATCTTCCATTTCTTTCATTTGATCAAATACTTGTTCAACTGGTTGAATCACTTCACCAGTTGAAAGTAATCTTGATCGAAATGCTGGCATTTTTGAATAAATATTTTCTTTCTTCTTTTACTGCAAAATTATTCTGATTATCTTACTTAATTTCTCGTCTGTTTAACTGAAAAAAAAGTGTGATTAGCTTAAATGTTTAAAGCAACAATTAAATTTTATTAAGCATAAAAGCAAAAGTTGAAGTTTTTAATTTTACAAAAAATATCCAAATAACATTTTTCTGCATATCTCAAAAAAATAAAAAAATAAATGAACTAAATGTAAAATCAAATTCTGATTAAATGATATGAAATACCAAAATGTAGTAAAACATTTCTGCGTAAAATTTTCGTTGACAGGGGAAAAACTTTGCAAAAAAACTTAAAAAATTTTGAAAAAAACGAATATTAGCACTACTTAAATATTTTTGATGAATTTGAATAAATTAATTGCAAGAAAAAAAAAAAAAAAAAGAAGAAATTAAAAAAGGAAAAACAGAAAAGAGAGAGAAAAAAGAGAAGAAATAAGGTCAAATATTCGGAATAAAAATTAGTAAACAAAGCGCAAATGTTAACTATCATTTGTTATGATTGTTTAAAAAATATATTTTCCTCATTTTCTTTTCCATTCTCCTCCACCTCTTCCCAAATACTATTTTCTTCATTATTTCATTGCAAATATTTACGGTAAGCACAAAAATCATTTTAGGTTTTCCTTTTCACTGCTATTTTACAGTGATGATTAAAGTTGTTAAACAAATACTATTTCGCCGCAAAATTTTTGTCTTTTTAAACATCCATTTTCCTCTTTGCTTCTCTCTCCTTCCCTCTCTCTCACTCTCTTTCCATTACATATTATATTTGTCTAATCTAATTGAACAATTAAATATTAAACGATACTCTCTCAAATGGAATAATTTCGTTTGCACATTTTTTCTTCTACAATTTTCTCTCCCACTCTCTCTCCCTTCTGTGATGCTTTTGCATTCGAAAAGGAAAGAGCAATGATCAGTTAAAATTTAAATACCAAAAAAGAAAAAGCAATTTTATTAATTTATTATTTCCATTATTTATTTTGTGCTAAAATCGTATTTTATTATTCCATCCAATTTTGTAGGAAAGTTTTAATTGTGCATAAACTGAAAACTGAAAATTATATTACATGCAGAAAATTTTTCTTCCAATAGATAAATTATTGAAAAAATTTAATTCATTCTGAAATAATAATTAATGAATTGTTACTTACAATGAATGTTTGATTAAATTAGAATTTTAGAGAGAAAATTTTTGAAATAAAATAATTTAAAGAAAAAACTGTAAGCGAGAAAAAATGATATTGATGAAATTAACTCAATAAGTATTTGACAAATAATGAAATAACAGAAAAGAAGAGAAAGAAAGGGAAAGAAGAGAGAGAGAGCATTTTTTAATTAACATTACCAATTCATTGTTAATGTGGCAATAACTTTTGCTCGTTAGAATGTGAAATGAATTAGGTGTAAGAGACTTTGTTGTTTGGTTGATACGATGGAAAGAATTCATTTTTGATCTATTAAAATTGTTTCGAAATTAAACTTTACATCACACTATGGTACATTTCAAATAAATTAAGAGCAAATTTCTTCCCTTTTTTTTTACTGCAAATATTTCTATTAAATTAATTTATAATTTAATATTCAACACATAAAATTGTTTAAATGTATTAAAATTAGTTTAAGACATTTCTATTAAATTATTAATTTGCATCATGAAATTTGTTAAATGTTATAACTAATATAGTAGTTTAAAAAATTGTAAAAAATCTAGCAAATAGTAGTTAAAAAGGTTAAATTTAATAATTAATAGTTAAAAAAAGTTCGAAAGTAAATCAGTGCAAATCAACTAACTTCAAACAATTTTATTAATTATCATATTTTAATAAAATTTGCTGAATATTTTAATAGAATGAGACAACAAAAAATATTAAATAATTCAAACAATTTTTTCTTGCTAAAAATGTTATTTAAATTAATATATATAATAACACGAAAAGTTCTGAAATAATTTGGAGAAATTGTTGTCTTTTCCATTAATATATTTCTCGAAATTAATTTCATAGAATTAATTAGTTTCTCATTATTAATTATTAAATTACTAATAGTTTAATAAAATTACTTTCACCTTATATTCTAAAATTAACATTTATTTTATCTCAATAAATTGGTACAACAACAGTAACAAAAAAAAAAAAAAAAAATGGAAAAATCTTGAAAGAAAAAGTAATAATAATCCTTGGTTTCAATCTATTACCTTTAACATTTTCATGTAATTATTTACAATGTGACATTACATGCATACAAGAAAAAAGCGAATAAAAAAAGGAAACGTATCATTATCATATCATTTAATCAGTGGTTGTATAATAAAAGAATTCGGAATGAAATGAATTGTACTGATATGACAATGTCATTTAACTTTACAAATTCTTTTTCGCAGCAAAATTGTAAGTTGCAAGAGATAAATTACAAAAATAATCAGTCATTCATTTATTAAGTGTAAAATTATCAAGCAAATCATTCTTTCAAATTCTATTTTTAACGATAAGATTAATGAAAATTTGATATGATTAATATATATGTTTAATAAATTTCAATTTTATTAATTAATACGATTAATTTTAATTATCATTAATACATGTTTATTAAATAAATTAAGCGTAACTAATTTCAAAAAATTTTATACTCATTTTTCTCCTTTTGCAATGCGAATAATAAAAAATTGATATATTCAGAGATAATTTGATATATTATAAAATTGCATAAAAATTTTAAATATAATTGTTTAAGAAATATGTATGCATGAAAAATGATTGAATATTAAATAAATAATTAATGTTATAATCATTCAATCTTCGCAAAAAACGAAAAAAAAAACGCTATAAAAAAATTAAATAATAAGAATTTGACTCATTGTATGTTAAAAAAGTTGGAATTTATATAATTTTGTTACTATATTAGGCTAATATTACTTACCTTAAGCACAAAAATTTTTTATACAATTTTTGTTCTTTTTTCTTATAAAAATATTCGAATTTTTGTTATGCTGTAATTTATTTGTTCATTATTTAAATTTCAGAGTAATCCCAGTAAGTGCAAAATAATTTCATGAAATATTTGTAGTATATTATTGAATCAGTTTAAATATTTTTACCTTACATCTGGCAATAGTCTAATTTACTGGTACGATCAATTCTATTGCTTACATTATTTCATCCCAAAAATCTTATCATTTTTTCTCATTTCCTCAATATACTATTACTCTCTCTCCCTTTTTTTTTCTTATTTACATTTTCGTAAAAGGAAAAAAAATATAAATATAATTTGTATATTTTTGATTTCTCTTCTATTTTCTTATCAAGTGATAGATGATAACATTATTAAATTTCGTTTTGCTTTCTTCTTAAATATTTTCTTAATCTTATTTAAAATTTAATACCTTTTTTAGTTTATTTAAAAGTTCGGTTGATTGTCACAGTGTACTTTAAACCGTTGTTCTTATTTTGCAAAAGGTCGTTAATTAACAAAATGTAACGGTAAAAAACAGAAAGCACAAAAAAATTTTTTACGTTTGCTGTTTAACGTCAAACTGCACATCTCAATTTGTTCTATTTTGTCTCTCATTGAAATAATATTTCCTTTAATTAATGATTTCTTAATGAGGCCGAATTAATTTCTCTCTTTACAATTTATTGGTTCATTTAATTAATTAATTAATTAATTTTTTTTGAAGCATGACGTTACCTGACCTTTAATGAATCAAAATTCATTACATAAACAACACTTATTTCTGTTATGTCAAAAAAAAAGAGGGGAAATCCATAGTATTTTCTTTACATGATTTTTTAATTAATTTTTAAATCAAGTCAAATTTCAAAGAAAAGAAAAAAAAATGTTTTGATCATCTACGAATTTAAGAATTAAATTTACTGAGAAATTAGATTAATTTCAAAGTGAACAGTTGTTCAATTTCTGAAATAATTGCTCTTTTTTTTATTTTTTTCGTTTTTGGTGCAAAAGTATTAGCTTCAAATAATTATACTAATTAATTCGCATAAGCACAAACTCTTACCTTTCTATCTTTTTCTTTCTTTTTTCTCTCTTTTTTTTTTTTTTTTGGAAAGAAACAGTTGTTATAATTTATGTTTGTTGAACGAATGCATTTTGTGCTCCATCTCGATGAAGGATTATGCGTGAATAAAAAGCAGCTAACATTTTCAAGTGTGAAATGAAAGTTTAAAATTTGATAAATTGAAAAGTGATGAACTTGTTTTGATGATTTAACCATCGTTACATTCTCACCAAAAATTACATATGGAAAACACACCATATTTTTTTTCGTTTAAATTTTTACTTCATTAATTTAATCGATTAGTGTAATTTGTTATTTTGCAGTAAATTCGATAAATTCTATTTATTATGGAAATTATTTTAAATATTTTGTAATACAATTTAATTTAAATTAATATTTCCAAAAATTGTAATAGCATAATTTATACATCTATTTTTGGAAACTTTTTACAATATTAATCAATAATTTTTCATTTCTAAACATTACTTATTTTTTCATCTGACATTTAAGTCAAAAAATGATTTAACCTTTTTTTTCCTTTTTTTTTGCATAAAATATTTGGATTAATAAGTTTTGGAATATCTTTGAATTATATTACATACCAAATATCAGTTAATTTATATCTTAATTAATTATTTAACTAATGATGATATATAGTAAATCTATATTGTTACAATTATATAAATTACATAAAAATAATTATACTAATTAAAACATTTATTACAATTCATTTATAAAGTTGCATCGTATTGAATCACTTTTAATTTAATTGAACAAATTTCTTAACTCATTTCAAGGAAAACATTTTATATATTCAATAAAATCAAGCAACTCATTTTCTAGTTTTCTTTTTCCTCTTTTCTTACTGTTATCATTCAGCGAATATTTCTTCCTTTTCATTTTACTTCCTTTGTTTATTGAGTAAATATAAATCTTTTAATTCAG